CTTCTCACACTTGGCCACTTTTCAGTTCTTTAAATCTGCTACAGGTGAGTTTAAGGTAAACTCGTTTGTTTCATGGGGCTTCCAAATTGAACCCTTCTGATATAGGCTATGAAGGGTGCTGTGTACCTCGAAAGGATGTATATCCAAAGCCCTATTGTCTATAGCACTCAGCCTGGGTCACCAAGAGCTGGATAGAAATTGGGTCAAAAGTGCCTAATTAGGAACATAATACCAGGAATATTCTCCCCTTGGTGCTCTCTATAAGTAAAATTAAGCATTTTGATACAATGTTATGTTCCCCACCAAATTAGCCCATTACAAACCTACCCCCATAACTTTAATATTCACTGAGCATTTTTGTAGGAGTGTGTTGATTTAGGGTGACCACAGAGCAATGTTATATGGCAGGAACTGATTGATCTATTTCTATCCCCAACATGAGAAACTGACTCCAGGTAAGGTGAGGTCTACTCTGAGTGGTTATTAATATGTCCAAATCAGTGGGTATTATGTGGATCATGAACCCTGGTGTTCATGCACTGAACTGCAAACGCAAGGTCAGCAGTTTACCACCACCAGTCCGTCTGCAGGAGAAAGACCATTTCTTACTCCTCTAAAGAGTTTCAGGGCAGTTCTTCCCTGTCCTATAGGGTCCCTGAGTCAGCATCAAGTAGATGGAGTGAGTGAGTGATATGGATCATGAGCATTAGGTAGGTACATCGACTCATTGTTTAGGAGACCAGATCAGATTACACGGCCTGAGAACAGATGCCTTCCTTTGTCCTGGTGTTTATTCCTATAATGGTTTTGTCAGGAGAAAGACTGGCTTTCTACTCCTGTAAACAGTTAGTCTTGGAAACCCACAGGAATCTGTATGAATTAGCATCGATATGATGGCAGTGAGTTTGGTTTGGGGTTGAGTGGTCTCGGACAGGATTTGTCCTTTTCTTTTGAATTCTGGTTTCCAATTTTCCCTCCACTATTCAGAATTTTAGGGAATTTTGGTGGTACTGTCTGGTATGTGACCGCTAACCACAAGGTTGGTAGGTAAAATCCACCAACTGTGCTGTGTGTGAAAGATAAGGCTGTCTGTTTTTAGTTTTGTATTTAGAATTTCAAGACTCTTATTTCTTATAACAAGTATCCTTACTATTGTAAAATGCATGCTTAATGTTAATTAACCAGTATCTTATAGTTTCTATCCTGAACAATTTATCAATATTAGAGCACTTAAATTCTGATTACCTCATTCCAGCTTTCACAGTAATTGGGTATTTTAATAATTTATTAAGATATATAAGATATGAAAATAATTCATATCTTATATATCTTAATATATATATATATTAAGATATCAGGAGTTCATTAGGGTGGGTGAGGGAGGAAAAATAGGAGCTGATACAAAGGGCTCAAGTGGAAAGAAAATGCTTCGAAAAGGATGATGGCAAAAAAAAAAAAAAAAAGATGATGGCAACATATGTCCAAATGTGCTTGACACAATGGATGTATGGATTGTTTTAAGAGCTGTAAGATCCCTCAATAAAATGATGAAAACAAATAATTTATTCAAACTTTCAAAATATCTTATTGAAGGTAATTGAGCAAGTAGTGATATTTCCCCCGGTAGCTGTGGCCCAATTTTCTTCTTGCACCGAGGTTTTTGGGTTCATTGGGGTGTGTGCTTCCAGCTGCCCCAGATCTTTGGCCTTGCTTCTTTGTAAAGCCGCAGAGATTCCACAAATGAGGGAAAACATTAAGAAATTGCCAGTCTTCTTCCTGAAATCTTCTCTGACAATTAGTCCTTTAGATTCTTCTAAGTTTTGGAATCTAAGGCATTGAAATATGCATACCTAATGAAGGGTGTACAGACAAAGAACAGTAGTTTTTACAGAAGATTCTACTTTGTACCTTCAATTATCTTCCTTTAGGAAAGGGCTTCAAAAGTTCATGAAAACAAGAACAGAACGTTTGAAGCCCCCTTCTCATACAAATGGTCTGTTTGAAGCACCGAATGCGCAGAACATTACTAATGTAATGAATTATAATGTATTTTCACTTTTATTTACACATCGTTTTTGTTGTTGCTAAGACTAGATACAATACAGCAGTTAACTTCTACACACAGTTCAGTGACACTGACTACATTCTAGCCGTGCTTACCTTTTGTGGCGGTTCCTCCTCAGTTAACAAAACTTGCTACTCCTGAAATTTCCCACAGCGTGCTTTGAGTTGTTGTAGTTTGGTCCCATATAGATGTTTTAAGAGGATAATGTTAAAGGCAGGCATTCTTTACCAGTTAAGCTCAACTAATGTTTAGTTTTAAGTCAACTTCAGGGGACATTTTTGGTTTAAAAATCTTATCCTTGGTTTAAATGAAAACTTGGCTATTTTTGTCATACTTTTAAAAGATGGCTGGATCTTCTTGCTTTGACTAGTTATTACTGCAGCTTCTGTAAGGTACTGTATAATCCCTGTAATTCTGTTATCCTTCGGTCTCTTCAAAACCATCCTGTCCTTCACAGTTCACCAGGTAGCCTAGTTTGTGTTGATTGCATCATCCTTTGTCCACCTGAAACCCCATGAAGTGCACACGGGTGGATACACACACAGAATTGTATATTATGGAACAGCCTTACTTTTGCTTCTCTGGCAACTATTTTTGTTTCCTTGCTATTTATGATATATAGAAATTGGTGTCTAAGAAATTCTCAAAACTCCCCTTCCCAGAACTTCCCAATGGAGGAATCATGCTATTCATCCCTAAGTAGTGGTGCTTAATTTCAAGGGCAGTTATCAGTAACTTTGCCAAAATACAGGCTAGAGAGCATATCAAGAGGGTACCACTCCTGCTGTCATTTTACTCTCATACACTGGAGTAATGCTAGTCAGTCAACTCTACCAGAAACACACACACATTCACTGCCATCAAGGCAAGGCTGAATCATAGAGACCCACTGTGGGTTTCCAAGACTAACTGTTCATAGGAGTACAAAGCTGTTTTGTTCCTGCAGAGCTGCTGAATTTGAACTGCCAACCAAGCGGATTGCAGCCAAACATATATTAACTATACCACAAGGGCTTCATACATGTGTATGTATATACACATGCATATTCACGTGTGTATATATGTATATCTAACATTGATTTGATGGATGGGCTGTTTTTGGAGAAAAGCATACCATATATATACTTTTCTCCCCACTCATCTATCATATTATGACTTACAGAAAAGCTACAGGACACAACAGGACTGCTCCATAGGGTTTCCAAGGCTGTAAGATGTATGGAAGCAGACATATCTTGCTTTCCTGGAATGGCTAATAGTTCCAAAAGGCTGACCTTTTTGGTCAGCAGCTTAAGGCTTAACCAGTGCCAAATCAGGGCTCTTACATTTTTCTTAGGGAGATCATGTATTACTGCAGGTAGAAGCAATACTTCCGTAAACTAAAAGATACAGATATGCCAGAGCATGTCATTAACTTGCACAGGATGTTATTATTTAGCATTTCAGATGCGCTTTGGTTCTACGAAACCTTCACTAGGGTCAATGAGCACCTTGAGTTGCCATCCTTCTAGGCTGCTGGCAGTCCAAGAGTTTAAAGAAAACCCCACTTCCACTAGCATGAGCCGAAGGCTGTTGCCCTCATGTCCTACAGGGCTCTGGCTTTTGTTCCTTGCTCACTACTTTGCTGCTAAATCGAATGTCTTCTTAAATCAGACCCACCAGTTGAGTTACGCCTTTGGACAAGGGTCCTGCTTTGATTCCATCTAGTCATTTACCCAACATTAGAAATTCTCCAAGTACAGTGAACCCTCACCACTTCGCGCTTCGACTTCCGCGGCTTCACTTTATCGCGGTTTTTGCGTAACAGCGCATGCTCTGTCATTACTGCCACTGATTGGCTCATACTGTACACGCTTGATGCCATAAATAATGATAATTGTAACGTCCAAAATGTTTTACTGTATTTTCCCTTTTTCGTTTAATAAATTGGGTAATACGAGTGTAATGGTGACTAAAGGGTGTTTTTACATGTCCTCTATGCTCTAACTACGAAAATATTTGATTTACAAATAAGGAATCCTACTTCGCGGAATTTCATTTATCATGGTAGGGTCTAGAACCGATTAACCGCGATAAACGAGGGTTCACTGTAGTTCATCCTTGCCACTTGAATATGCCCTGGTGTTGAAGTCTAGAAAGCGAAGAACACAAATAGTTCTTGCCTTTATTGGCTGTCTTTGCATATTAACTTTCAAGACTTTCGTGGAGAAAAGCTGGATAGTCCTTGGGTATTCCTCTATTAACTGGCCAAATACCACAAAGCACTTCAAATAACCTAGGAATGTTGTAAACAAATTTAGTTCACTACTCTTTATGTAAAATGTTGTCAACCAATGTAGTCTATTCTATGCAAAAAAGGTGCCGGTTGTTTGTGACCCATGTCAGGAATGAACTGTGCTCCCTGAGGTTTTTAATTGCAGACTTTCCAGGAGTAGGCCATTAAGCTTTCTTCTGAAGTGCCTCTAGGTAGACTTGAACCTCCAACCTTTCTAGCTAGCAGCACATTACCCATCTGTATCACCCAGGGACTCATGGACTACTTGCTCCAAACACCTTAAAAAAAAAATCGCTTCCATTCCTGAAACTTTTAGTACTCATATAGAATGGTATTCAAAGATGTTTTTAAGATTGTTAGCAAGTGAATAGGGCATCCTAGTTGTGCATCGGGCTGCTAACATTAAGCAGTGTGAAACCACCAGCTGCTCCATGTGAGCATATTTAGTCTCAGAAACCCACAGGGGCAATTCTAGTCTGTCCTTTAGGGTCCCTGTGAGTTAGAAACTAAACGGCAGTGAGTGTGCTCCAGCCTCACCTCCTCATGGTCAATCCACATCTGTTTTTATGCCTGAAAACTGTGATGCTATTTGTATTCACTTTGAGGGATAGCACATCCCTCCAGAAACCGCAAGACATAGTAATTTACGAGGCCAATGACTTAGTGTCAACATAAGATTTTTACTTACTGCAATAATGCAGGTTCAGAGGAAACAGTTCGTTCTGCAAATCTGTAGTATTTTATCAACTTCCATAAATGGTAAGCATGAACTAGAAGATATGAGCTCTCGCATACTGTCCTTCGAGACTGTGACATTTCACCCAGGACAAATTGCGCTCTGCCCTAGACTCATGGCTGAAAAATACCTGCACATTATCATAATCTCTTCTGCAAACGGTAGGCTGAAATCTTACCCGAGGTTGCATGCATTTATTCTAAGTTGGCTCTGCTAGCAATCCTAGACTTTTTCTATCCATATGTCAGACCACTCTGTTCACCCAGGTCAAATGAGTATACGTGATCAGAAGTAGAAGAAACCCATGAACTTTGGAAGTGAATGGGTAAAACGGAGTCCCAGAAACATGGGCTATTTGGCTGTTACTTTTATTTAAGATGTGTAGATTTCTAGGAAAATGGCTGATCGGTATTAAAACCAGTCCCATCAGAATACTGTTACTGATCAAAATGAGAATTTCCATGTTGGTCTATAGGGCTGGCTCTTGTTAATCGACCCATATCCCTCTTGGGTACACATGCACAGTATGCATTACATAGATTACCAACCAGGCACAGAAGGTCTCCCCTTTTATGCTTCAATCCCATATCCTGCACTCCATTTATGGAGTAGAATATCTTCATTCCTTCCAACGCCCCCCAATGAACAGGTGATGTTCATGAGAATTATTCAACTTCACCTCTATGGTAACCTCTATCAGACAACAGAGATTCTTGGGTCACAGTGAGATACTATTATTTAGTTCTAAGTTACATGAAAATGAAATCACTTAAATGAAAACACACAAATACATGTAAGCCATTGACTCCTGGTATACTGTGAGGTTCCAGGAATTGAGGTTCAGAATGTTCCCTGGAACCAAAGAACGGAGGTAAGGACTGGATGTCAAGAAGATTCTCAACAGCTGTGGCCAATGGCAACAGCCGTCTACATTTTCACAGGGTTATCTCCTATCTGCTCTGGTTTCTGGCACATCCAGTAGGTGATACAAGCAATCACGAGCCCGGTGCCTCTGTAGGCTAACACTATCTCCAAACTCATACAAAACCCATGGGAAGGAAAAGGTAAGGTGAGTGGGCTTGTGCATGTGTGTAGATATATTTGCCTTCCTGATGGTTTAATTACACTTTACTTACACCCTCAGAGCCTGAATGCTACATCTTCCTTGTACAAGTGCCAGGGACAAAACCAAACCACTGGTAGAATATTAAGTAGGCTAAAAGCATGAAAACAATCTACCAGGGGAAGAAAAAAGCCCACAAGGAAACAAAGGAGCTGCTGAGGTCTTCCTTTTTGGTAGTGGCTGCACAGGCACCATTTTTGACAGCGGGGGTGAAAATAGCCTGAAAACGTCCATAAGCAGCAGCCTAGAGATTTTTACCCATCATACTTTTTTTTCTTCTGTTTCCCACAGCAACAAAGGAAAGTGCATGGTGAGCAAGTGAATCAAACATGGAGGGATTTGTAGAGTTAACAAAGTCATCAGGACCCAGATCTGAGTTCAGTGTGCTTTAACAGGTGACCCCAAGAACAGACATCTTAACAAAGTCCCTTATCACACCTAAGGGGTTGCTTTTGGCCACTTTAAACTTGAAGTTGTCAAGTAGTCTTTAGGGTATGTAACAGCCTATTTTTTGGAAGAGTAATGACAATCTCTTAAGTCTAATTTTCTTACTCTGTGCCCAGAAGGGAGACACAGGAACACTTCAGTTAAGGAGAAGCCTCCGTTCAGATTGTATCTGGGACAAATTATATCCTCAAAGTGCTGAAGAGGTTGAGAAACTTTGCCTGGGGGTTTTATTTAGCTTGGCAAGAGACTCCCTAGAAAAGATCTTCCAGGCTAACAAGGCGGCTTCTCCTAGCCCACTCTTACAGGTAAACAAACTGTAGGTCTCCTCATATGAGGATCTAGTTAGGGAGTCTTTTCTGAGTGGGTTCTTTGATGCCTGATTAAGTGATAACCTCTGCTGAAGTGTTTGCCACAGGTAGGGCACATGAATGGCTTTTCACCAGTGTGTGTTCTCTGGTGTCTGACCAGGTGGTCCCTCCGACTGAAGCTTTTCCCACATTCACCACACCGACAAGACCTCACTGATGCATGCCCTTTTAGATGCTTGGCAAATGTTGCATTGTGGTTGAAGCATTGTCCACACTCACTACAAAGAAATAGTTCCTCAGGAGCATGTGTTTTCCGGTGTGCCAGGTACTGCCTGTGATCATGGAAATCCTCTCCACATTCTGCACATAAGTAGGGTTTGTCTCCCAAGTGGACCCTTTGGTGTGTTGTTAGCACAGATTTCTGACTGAAGCTTTTGCCACAAATTGTACAGAAGAATGGTTTTTCTCCTGTATGTGTCCTCTGATGTCTGACAAGGTCTGAAGTCCAGCGGAAGTACTTCCCACAATCATCACATCGATGGGGTTTCTCAATAGATGGAGTTTTTTCAACCTGGATCACAGAGGAGGTCTCATTCACATTTTTCCGGTTTAGGGGGAGTTTATAAGACACGCCAATCTTGTGAATCTTTTGGTGCCTGGCAAGATGTGAGCTCCGTGTGTAACTTTTCCCACACTCCATACATTTGTAGGGTTTCTCTCCTGTGTGAGTTCTCAGGTGTCTAACCAGGTGCGAGTTACAAGTGAAGCTTTTCCCACATACAGTACAGTGATGATGTCTCCCTAATAAGGGGTGGAGAGGTATGGTTTCCTGAAGATTTGTCAAACTATTAACTTGAGAAATATTTGTATCAAATCTTCTCTCATTAAGTCTACCTGAATTATCTTCAAAGACTATTTCCCAATCAGGAGTCTGGTGAATTTCTGGATCTCCCAAAACAGACCTTTGAAAGTCCTCCAAACTTCGATCTTCTTGCTCAAGATACTCATCATCTTCACTCTGCTCTCCTGTGGAAGGAAGAGGGAACATGAAATAGGTAGTACCGGTGCCTTGCACACAATGGAGGAATGCTTTAAAAGTGCATGACAGGGCGAAACACTAGTACACAGAAACCTTATTTCATAACTGAAGAGGTTGGGGGAGAAAGAAAGACTCAACGGAAAGCTTGCCAGATGCTTTCTTACACATTATCTTATGCTGTCAGCAAGGCTGGGTACGGAGTCCTACTCTTTTTGCACAAACGAGGTGATCGAAGATCATTGAATTAAGTGAATTATTTAGTAAAATGGCAGAACTGCAATTCTTGATGTTTGTATTTCCCACCCACCATTTCACAGTCCATGTCTCTCAAATGATGGAGGGGTGAAGAAGAGGGAAAAAGAAGAATTTGGTTTTCAGGGGAAGACAGCCTAATGGCCAACACGGCAGAAGAACCAATGAGCGGGGGGCCTGCAAGGAGAGCACTGACTAGAACAACGGCCCGCTCTGTGAGATGCCTTTGCCGTTCCTCACCTGTGTAGGTAAAACTCAGGATCTCAGTCTCTTGAGGTTCTTGAGGCTCTTGAATATCTTGGACCCAAAACTCTTCCTCTCTAACCTGGGAGATTTCATTTAGCCTGGGGATTGGAAATGCTGCTCAAGAGAGGGAAAACAGGACATCAAGACTGGTTCAACAGGTCCCTATGTTTGCAGCAGATCCTTTCTGGTTTTGTTAAGAGTAAATATACAGTCAGGTCAGTGAATCACATTTTCAGTCCCTTTAGGCTGAGCATCTCTAGCCAAGTATTACCTATCTTCCGCTTTTTAAAATATATTTTCACCCACAACTCGATAATTGTTACACTGTTACCCGCTTTCTCCCTTATTTAAGTAAGCACAGTACCTCTAACTTCAGCCTTGCTTGTTTATCTCAAACATTTGTTAACTAAAGCGATAGCTATAAAAAGGTAGCTTTACTTGATTACATGTGCCCAACCATTTTCTCTCCCTTTCAGCTTGGAAGTGTACCGCCCCCTCTTCTGCAGCTACTCTCACTATCACTGGGCTAAGCATAAAGAAGTTCAGGGCGTACATTCTAAAGTCCAATGGCCCTCAGCATCTCTAATGGGGAAAAGACCTGCACTCAAAACACTCCAGAAACACCCAAAATCCTTACACAGAGAAACTACAATTCCACAGTCTTCTTCCAAGACATATTCTCCATAGAATTCTTTCTGTGTTGGGTCTACATCATTCCACTGGTCCTGGGAGAAGCATACAGCCACGTCTTTGAACGTTACCAGTCCCTGAAACAACACAAGGCTTCACTCAAAATTCTGATGCTTCCTTTAACCTCAATTATTTTGTTCCTGAAGTAGGGGTCATAAGTAGAGGAAGAACACGCCCAGAAAACTAAAGTTCTCAGACAGGCTATGTAGCTCTCTTTCAGAAAATGTGTTGCATCCTCTGATGCTGTTGACAGCTTTTACTGCACTGGTCCTACTCTTGCTGCCTGTAACCCCCTTGCTTTCTGCAACTCAATAATTATTACATGTTAAGTGTTACCCTTCTCTCCCATATTTAAGCACAGTATCTCTAATGAGAATCGGTCTATGTTCTTCTTCTTGGGGGTATTGTTCAAAATACAATAGCCTTAAAAGGCATCAACAATTCCTTATTTGATGCTTTCATGACAGCTACATTTCTTTGAAATTCAGCATTTCCAGGAAGCTTTCCTTAATTGACACTATCTAATCATTCTTACCATTTATAGGCTACGTGGCAAAAACATGAAATTCTTTTCTTCAACTGGACGATTAGTCTCTGAATAGGAACTATTTCTTTCTATCCAGCCACAGAGCTTAATGTCAGGGCTATTCACAGAACATCAGAGCTGACTAACTGTAGACCACTGGAGAGACAGAAAATAACCACACAATTTTTACAGAAGAGTGTATCATTCTTATAAATGACCATCAAACTTACTCATTAAAAACAATGAGTTAGTCCCTAACAAAAAAACATTTTGTTAGTTCCTCAGGTCAGTGGCAAATCCAGTCTTTAGAGGCTACAGAGTCAATGTATCTCAATGATGAACTTCCTCCTCTTTCCAGGCACCTGCCAAACTGAGAACCCAAACTAATATGAGGATGCAAATGTGCATTCTAACTCTTCTAGCATACGGGTGACTTATGCTTCATGGTGCTTCACGTACCTTCTCAGTGGGCTACAGAGACACTTGGACACACCTGTGATAAAGCGGTGAGGAGGGAGTCTCCAGTGTTCCTCTCTTCAGGCGGGTCTGGGTCCTGGCGCACTGGAGCACCTAAGAAGAACCATTATGGAGATCAGCACCCTTTAGCGGGAAGGTGGTATGAACTTCTACTGAGGGATGCAAAAACCTCGTCTAAGGGTAGCGCAAGTCATCTTAAGCACCATCACCTGTAACAATAGCAAGCCACGAGGCGAAGCAAAAATATCACTGCTTAAACTTGGCCTTGTTTATGAGAGGCTTTAATTGGTACTGTCTCTCCTCATAGCACCTTGGATTCTGAGATTTATTATTATTATAATCTACCCAACCTCCTCTGGCATAGAGCTCTTTACCTTCCCCTGCCCCAGTCCTTTGGCTGAGGTTTCCCACCTCTCTCCTGTAGGGGCTGGAACTCCTCTTCAGGACAGGGGCTCTGTTCTTCTGGTGCCCCCAGATCTGGAATCTGTGTGGTCTCCTCATGGACTTCCAAGGGGGTTGAGGTCTGTACAGGGTCTTGCACCTCATTTGGTGACTCAAGCTCGGCCCCAAGATGTACCAACTCCTCTGACAGGACTTCCTGGTCGTGAACATGGATGGTCACCTGGGAATGTCAATATCCAATCACCATGGAGTCTTGGGGAAGGCCCTGGCTGTCAACAGGGCATATGGCGGAGGAGCTGCCAATAGGAAAACTCCTGAAAGCACCCAGATGATGATCTCTAGTTCCAGTGAGCAGGCAAAGAGCTGAAGTCTGTCTTCCCTAGGACAAGCTAGGGGCATGCAGATGGGGACAGAGCATTACTTTCTCCCTTCCTGCAACCCTTCGCCTTAGTAAACCAGTGGTCTGAGTATCAACTCTCCCATTTCCACCTCTAACTCTTCTTGTTTGCTTCCAAAGCTTCCTATCATGGAAAAAGAATCTGCACCTGAAGGTCCAAGAAAATCTCGGAGAAATCCCCTAATTCTCTCCCTAGCAACCTGGTCTAAATATCCAAAGATGGGAAAACCAAAGCCACGACCCTTACATGGCTGACGCCTTTCAGATGGGCTCCAGGAAAGGTGTTTCAAAACCTAGAAAGTCTCACTTCTCTCTTTCACACACACGCATACACCCTTGTCCCATGGGATGCATAGATCTAAGTACAACCCAAAGGCAGAGTCAATTAAATGGAAAGGGTAACTTATAAGGACCTCATAACTCTTATACCCCAATCTAGCAATTCAGCCCCCGCCACATCACACAGATCAGGACTCCTCCTCCTCACCCACCGCCTTGGTCTCCTGGGCTGTTTCTGCAAACCCTCCACCAACGTCACCGCCTCCTCTCCGCTTTCTGGTCGCTGGCCCCGAACCCAGCTTTGCAATTCTCCAGGCAGGACAGTGAGGAATTGTTCCAGCACAAGCAGCTCAAGGATCTGTTCCTTTGTCCGTCTCTCTGGCCTCAGCCACTGATGACAAAGTTCCCGGAGTCGAATGAGAGCGTCACGAGGGCTTGCTGCTTCCTGGTAGCGAAATCGTCGGAAGTTCTGGTGTGAGGTCTCAAATACAGGATCATTCCCCTCTAAGACAGACTCTGGCCTACAGGTGAAATCATCTTCCAGTTTCACCATCAGAATCCCCTCTTCTTCCCAAAGGTCCTGGTCTTCTGGTTCTAAGATTGTAGCCATTTCCTGGCTCTCAACTGATTTCACACCATCTAGAGCTCTGGTCACACCCCTGGTCTCTGGCTGGGCACTTCAAGGAGATTGTCCAAAAGGACCTGGAGTAGAGTGAAAAAGACACCAGTGTTAGCATGCAATTTTATACAGAGACAGGGTTATGAGTTCAATTATATTCTGTCTACCTATATACTTCCTCTATTAAATCTGTTTTCTCCCATCCATTTGTTGTAAAAAAGATCAGATTGGGACTGGGATTCCTGAAGGCATACTGCCCCCTTCCCTGGGTGAGGCAGACTCCCTTATGAAATCTAGGCAACTAGAAGGGAAACAGCTAGGAGAAAACACTCATCATGAATGGCTAAAAAATGTGATCCTGACCATGGTCTATTTATAGACATGCATGCATACACATTTACAAATATTAGCTGAGAAAAAACAGACCAAGAGGGTTGTGAAAGACACAAGACATAGTACCTGCTGACCTGAATCACAGCATCATTGTGAAATGGGAACTCTGAGATCCAAGAGAGAGGTTACATGAGATAATAACAAAAACCAGCCACTTACGGTGTCTGGCATGTCGGCATCCAATAAAGGATCTTTCCTTTCACGAAGATATCTTTAATCGGATGTTCCAAAAACCCTTAAACCCAAAGGTTCAAATGTAAACTCGCAAACCTACCCCCAACTCCACGTGGAACCCTGTTTTGCCTGGTATTATCACTAAAGTAAATACCCTTTGTAATCCTTGGGTTGAATGCTGATTGTTCTGCATTTCTTGCAGCTCATTAAGGCAATTTACCTAAGTCTCTGGATGAGTTTCCTAGTCTTCCTTCTCATAGACTGCTTTAGCTTCAGCCTTATTATCTCTTTCCTGGATTCTTGCCATAGCTTCCTAACGCATCCTGACAGTACTTACCCTGTTTCCCGAAAGTAAGACATCCCCCGAAAATAAGAACTACTTACAGTTTTGCCTCTCGCTGAAATA